GAGATTGTTAGAAAAAATTAGAGAGTTGTTCAGTAATAGGCCACCAAACTACGTGAGGGTTGCATTTGAATTACATCAGAATGGCGAACCCAATCTACATGCCCTCATCCAATTTCATATCGCTTTCAGACGCAGGATGAACGATTCTTTGACATTTCTCACGATAACAGTAATCGCCATTTCCATCCAAATGTTCAAGGGGCATACAACCATCAGAATGTGCTGGATTACATATCCAAACACGGAGACTACACGGAATGGGGTGAATTCCGTGAGAGAGGCCGTCGCTGCGCTAACCAGAATAACAAAGAAAATATATATCGCGACGCACTTGCTGCTGGCACCAAGGACGAAGCACTGGCACTAGTAAGAAATGGCGATCCAAAATGTTTCTGGCTAAATTATGACAAGTTGTTATCCAATTATGACCGGATTTCATTTAGTCCACCATTGGCGTATGTTCATCCATTTACAGATACAGTGTGGGCCGTTTCAACAAGCATACAGCAATGGGTTGCAGAAAATATAAGAGACGAGGCCCAAAGACCGCACAGGCCCAAGAGCATTATAATTGAAGGCCCATCCAGAATTGGAAAAACATGTTGAGCCCGGTCTTTGGGGCCGCATAATTATTATTCTAGCCACATCGATTTGAGGGACCACAAAGACAATACTTTCTACAACATAATCGACGATATGGCCCCACAATTTTTGAAACATTGGCGGGAGTTTATTAGAGCACAACGAGATTTTTTTTCAAATTGTAAATATGCCCGCCCAAAGAAAATAAAGGGCGGGATTCCAAGTATTATATTATGCAATCCCGGAGCCGATTCTAGTTACAAAGAGTTTTTGGAAAAACATGAACACACCGGGCTCAAAGCGTGGACGATCAGAAATGCAGAATTGTATACAGTCGACCAGCCCCTGTTCGCCAGAACCAATCAAGAGGAGGCATCGTAATGCCAAGAAAAAGGCCCAACGCAAGAAGATATTCCACTTCCAATACGGCTGTTCGATATTCCATACGAACAGATGTGTCGAACCACATTCATTGCAGAGAGAAGATGCTATCAGGGGTCTTCTACGACACTTTGAAGAACCCGATATGGTTCAGAGCCGTGGACATGTCCATGCCGGGGAATCAGGGGGTATACAAGATAGAATGCCTATTCAACTACAACCTTCGGAAAGCAATGGGAATCTAGACGTTCATCGCCACAATGTATACGTGGCTGACATACAGTGGTCTCAGGGGCTGACGTACATGTCCACGGCTCTGAACCACATCGGGTTCTTCAAAGTGTCGTAGAAGACCCTTGATAGCATCTTCTCTCTGCAATGAATGTGGTTCGACACATCCGTTCGTATGGAATATCGAACAGCAGCATTGGAAGTGGAATATCTTCCTACGTTGGGCCTTTTTCTTGGCATTATGATGCCTCCTCTTGATTGGTTCTAGCGAACAGGGGCTGGTCGACTGTATAGAATTCTGCATTTCTGATCGTCCACGCTTTGAGCCCGGTGTGTTCATGTTTTTCCAAAAACTCTTTGTAACTAGAATCGGTTCTGGGGTTGCATAATATAATACTTGGAATCCCGCCCTTTATTTTCTTTGGGCGGGCATATTTATAATTTGAAAAAAAATCCCGTTGCGCTCCAATAAACTCCCGCTAATGTTTCAAAAATTGTGGGGCCACATCGTCGATTATGTTGTAGAAAGCATCATCCTTGTGGTCCTTCAAATCGATGTGGCCAGAATAATAATTATGCGGCCCCAAAGACCGGGCCCAACATGTTTTCCCAATTCTGGATGGGCCTTCAATTATAATGCTCTTGGGCCTGTGCGGTCTTTGGGCCTCGTCTCTTATATTTTCTGCAACCCATTGCTGTATGCTTGTTGAAACGACCCACACTGTATCTGTAAATGGATGAACATATGCCAATGGTGGACTAAATGAAATCTGGTCATAATTGGATGACAACTTGTTATAATTTAGCCAGAAACATTTTGGATCGCCATTTCTTACCAGTGCCAGTGCTTCGTCCTTGGTGCCGGCAGCAAGTGCGTAGTGAGGCCGGGTCCAATAACTCCGAATCATCAAGGCTCACTACAGATGAGGTATCTAAATTAATAGGAGAAGCTGTAAAGGCCGCAGTGGAGGGATCCGCATCAGCCCAGAAAGCAAACGTACCACGGAGACCAATGTAAAATAATTTGTAATAAATAATTGTATTAATATGAATGTTTCAAACCGAAATTAATTTACTGGGAATTTACTTGAAATTTACAAAGTTATTTGTTTGGAATTTACTAAGAATTTATTTGGAATTTACTGAGTAATTTACTAGGAATTTACAGAGTAATTTATAGGGAATTTAATAAGAATTTACATGGAATTTACTGAGTATTTTACTAGGAATTTATAAACTAATTTACTGGGAATTTACGTGGAATTTACTGAGAATTACTTGGAATATAATTAGTAATTTACTGAGAATTTATTGAGTAATGTATTGGGAATTTACTAAGTAATTAACTAGGTATTTACTGAGAATTTACTGAGTAATTTAGTAGGAGTTTACTGGGAATTTACTGAGTAATTTACTTGGAATTTGCTGAGTAATTTACAGGGAATTTACTGAGTAATTTACTAAGCAATTTAGTATGAATTTACTTGGAATTGACAGAGTAATTTACTGGGAATTTATTGAGTAATTTACTGAGAATTTACTAAATAATTTACTTAGAATTTATTGGGAATTTAGTGAGTAATTTAATAGGAATTTACTGAGAATTTGCTCGGAATTTACTAAAAAATTTACTGGAAATTTACTGAGTAATTCACTTTGAATTTATTGGGAATTTACTAAGTATTTTACTGAGAATTTTCTGGGAAGGTACTGCAAATTTACTAAGTAATTTACTTGTAATTTTTTGAGCATTTACTGAAAATTTACTGAGAGTTTACTGTGTAATTTACTGAGAATTTACTACGTAATTTCTTAGAATGTAATGGAAATTTACTTAGTAATTTACTAGGAATTTATTGAGAATTTGCTGGGAATTTACTGAGAAATTTACTGGGAATTTACTAAGTAATTTACTTTGAATTTACAGGGAATTTACTGATTAATTTACTGAGAATTTTCTGGGATTTTTATGGAAAGTTACTGCGAATTTAATGAGTAATTTAGTAGGAATTTACTGAAAATTTACTAAGAATTTACTGATTAATTTAATAGGAATTTACGGAGTAATTTACTAGGAATTTATTGAGTAATTTATTTAGAATTTACTGAAAATTTCTGAGTAATTTTCTAGTAATTTACTGCGTGATTTACTGGAAATTAACTTGGAATTTACTGCGTAATTTACTGAATAATTTACTAGGAATTTACGGAGTAATTTACTGAGAATTTACTCAAAATTTACTGAGTAAATTACTAGGAATTTACTGAGAATTTATTGGGAATTTACGGAGAATTTACTTAGTAATTCACTATGAAGTTACTGAGAATTTCCAGAGAATTTATTAAGTAATTTACTAAGAATTCACCAGAAATTTACTAATAAATTTACTGGCAATTTACTGAGTAATTTACTAGAAATTTACTGAGTAATATTCTATGAATTTACTGAGTAACTTACTGGGAATTTACTGGGAATTTAATGAGTAATTTACTAAAAATTTACTGAAATTTACACGGAATTTACAGAGTAATATACTGAGAATTTACTAAGAATTTGTTTGGAATTTAATAAATAATCTACTAGGAATTTAATAAGTAATTTATTTTGAATTTATTAGGAATTTACTGAGTAATTTACTTGGAATTTTCAGGGAGTTTACTGAGTTATTTACTGGGAATTTACTGAGTAATTTACTGAGAATTTCCTGGGAATTCACTGAGTAATTTTATGAAAATTTACTGAATAATTTATTGGGAATTTACTAAGTAATTTACATGGATTTTACTGAGAATTTACTGGGAATTTACTGAATAATTCACTTAGAATTTACTCTGAATTTACTGAGTAATTTACTGGGAATTTACTGAGTAATTTACTGAAAATTTATTGAGTAATTAATTTTCTAAGAATTTAGTTAAAATTTACAGAGTAATTTACTGAGAATTTTCTAGGAATTTACTAACTAATTTACTGGGAATTTACTGAGTAATTTTGTGATGACCCCGTCACGTATAATATTTTATATTTGGTTAATTAAGGAGATTTGGGATTTTAATTAGTCGTTATCCTAATTTAATTTGGGATTTGTGAGAATTGTGGAATCTGATTCGTATATGATTCTATTGAAAATTTATTTTAAGGGTCCAAATGGCTTAAGGAAGCGAAATTAAGAAGTTGAATCAATTTAATTTTAATTATGAACCCATTTGGGAGTTAATTAAATATTGATTCAGTTTAGCAAAATTGAGATTCGATTAATTAGGTTCGAATTGGGATTAATTAAGTTAATTAAATTATGAGGATTAAGAATGGTGATTATTATGAATTAAATTTATTTATGGGATGTCCAATTTGAATGTGTAATTGTTGACGAAAATTTAGAGTCTGATTAGAAATTGAAGGCCTAAATGGTTTGGGAAATCGAAATTGATGATGACCATAAGTTTAATTTAATATTTAGAGCCTTTTGGGAGTGTGATTAAAAATCTGATTCAGACTGATAATTTTAAATATAATTAATTGGGCTCTAAAGGAAGTCAAATTAGACTAATTTAATTAGGTGAGATTTATGATTATCCATGATTAATGTATTTATGTGGTAATTAATACATAACTAGACACTAAGCTAATCCCATTCATTTACTTAATCAAGAGAAGTGTGTAGACAACCTAGAGTTGTATCTGCTGGAGCCCCAAAAGTGTGCACGTGTATACGTGTTGGTGAGCTTCTGAGACAAGTGTAATTCTTTGGGCCCAAAGCTTTGCTGAGAATCATATATGTGTGTCTACGCTGAGGAGTGAAAGAATTGGATTCATTTCTGCTTTGGGCTGGGAAACAGCCGAGAGAGAGAGAGAGAGAGAGAGAGAGTGTTCAACCAAGGAAGAAGTGAACTCAAGAGATTCAACCATTGAATGCTTAAGGTAAGAAAATTAAAGCTTAAATTTTGTAGATAATTTACCTACATGCTGAAATTAAGAGGTAAATGGGTTCAATTTCATGTAATTAAAAGGAAATTAGCAAAAAGATGATGAAAATAAATTAGATTCATGATTATGAAAATTAATTTAGAAAGTAATTATTTTGAGATTGATTTTTATAATCTTGCATGTTCACTCAAGTTAGGTTGAAAAATATGAGTTATGGTTCTTTAAATTTGTTATGTTTGAACTAAATTTTGAGAATTATTCTTAAATTAAGTCCCATAGATTACATGCATCAAGATTAATTTGAAGATTTGGTCCATGCGATGGAGTTAGGTTCAAATTTATGGGAATTAACCTAGAAATTGATTATTTTGGATTTGATTTTGCATATCTGATATGAATTTGAGTCTAAATTTTACATGCATGTAATTTGGAGAAATTAAAGAATTAATTCATGAACATGGTTAAGGTTAATCAATATGGAAATAATTATAATTCTTCAATTGAGCTTGGGCTTGGGAACCTTTATATATATATATAAGGTATAAATTTACATGCATCATGGATTTAAAATAATTGATTGCATGTTTTGATGTAATAAGAATTAAACTTTGGAAAATTATGGGTTTATGAACAAAAAACTTAATTTGTAAATTAAAGGAGTTTTGATGTAATTGATTTAAAATTGATCATGGTTGATGAAGATGAGCATCAATTGTGTTATTTAAGTTGAAAATGAAGCCTATATCTCACATGCATGTGAGATTCAAAGTGATATGGAAATTAATTTTCATGTGAAATTCAAGTGATGGAAATTAATTTGCATGAGTTTTAAAGATATGAAGTTGGCATGGGTTATCAAGAAAAATGTGAAATAATCTGGGAATTGAATTGTGATTTTGGACAAATTAGATTCAATTTTCTTATGTCCTCATATTGTATAAAGACTTCCATAATTTTGTATCAAGAACATGAGTTTTAGACCCTTTGAATGCTAAGTTTGAGTTTCAAATGCAATTCTGGAAATTCCAGAATTCAGCATGTCCGCTCGAGTGGGAAATCTCCGCTCGAGCATGAAATGTTGGCTTCCAGAACTTTTGCAGACATTGGTGTCCGTTCGAGCGGAAAGAGTCATGCTCGAGCGTAGAAACGTAGTAACCAGCACTTTTGCAGACAAAAGGGGTTCACTCGAGTGGCCAAAGCAGCGCTGGAGCAGAGAGCCCTGTTCTTGAAATTATGAAAAATGGCTTTGTGTTTTGTTTTCCATTCTCTTTCACTTCTAAGCACTCTTAGGCATGTACTAGGCATTATAAATGAACTAAAGAGTTGGAAAGGGCCTAAGAGAATTAAACGAATTAAAGAACCGAATGAATTGTATTGTGACCCGATTTCTATGTGTATTACGAATTGTGTAGGGTTAAGTGCAAGGACGAATCGAGCATCGGAACATTGTGAGTAATATCTTAGTAAAGATATTTTCAAGTATGTTATTTTCCAAATGCTACTTCTGTATAAGCTCCATGGATTTGTTGATTTGAATTACGAATGAGTATTGTATATGCCTAATTTTCTGTATAAGCTCCATGGATTTGTTGATTTGAATTATGAATGAGTGATCTATACACCTAATTTTCTGTATAAGCTCTATGGATTTGTTGATTTGAACTACGAAAGAGTATTCTATATGCCTAATTTTCGTGTAAGACTCCATCAAGAATATGATTTCGGCCCAAGGCCTTTTGATATGTGATAAGAGTATGAATTGGGCCTGAGGTTGTTTGATACGTTTGATATGTCTAGATTGGGCCAAAAGCCGTTTGAATATTTTGATGGACCAAAGGCCGTTTGATCACTTTGATGGGCCAAAGGCCGTTCGAATATCTTGATAGGCCAAAGGCCGTTTGAATGAAAAGAGATCATGATCATGAATATGAAATGCGCCTAGATACGAATATGGAAATAACGGGCTAAAGGCCGTTTGAATGAAAAAAGATCATGATCACGAATATGAAATGCGCATAGATACGAATATGGAAATAACGGGCTAAGGGCCGTTGGATGAAAAAAAGATCATGATCATGAATACGAAATGCGCATAGACACGGATATGGAAATAATGGGCCCAAGGCCGTTTGATACGTTAAAGTGTTTGAATTGGGCCCGAGGCCATTTGATGAGTCTGACATGTTTGATGCAATGGGCTCGAGGCCGTCCGATATATTTGATAAAAATCTAAATTGGGCCCAAGGCCGTTTGACATGTACAAGAAAACACAGAATGGGCCTAAGGCCGCTTGTATATGAAATTTATGGGTTCGATGTACTTAATACAAATCTCATTCGTATAACCTCTTTACTATGGTATTATTCATTGGGCTTTCGCTCACTCTTTATATATATGTATGTAGGTGAGCAACAGGATGCCTAACCCCAACTGTAACGAACCTAAGAAAGAATGCCAAGTTGTGGAGTCAATCATGCCACGCCTCACGAACGAGGCCTTGGTTTTCAAAACCATCATTTTAACCATTTTGCCTTCTTTGATGGTTATGTTTGACCTTAACAGTATGTAGGCAATGGTTTTGTATAAATATGGTATTACATGGATCTAGACATAGAATATCTTTTATGTGGGTATGTTTGGTGTGAGTTATTAATATAAGAAATGTTTTTATTTATTCCATTTATGCACAAGCTCATTGGACAATTACTATCTTTTGCTTCTGCTTTTGGCTCCATATGGTTATTTGAAAATTGTTTTCTATCTGAGGCCATAGGTAATCTAATGATTACTGGCCGGCAATGATCCTAACCTATAAGGGCGGGTTAAAGTCATGACAAATTTACTGGGAATTTACTGAGTTATTTACTGGGAATTTACTGAGAATTTACTTGGAATTTACTGAGTAATTTACTCAGAATTTACTAAGTAATTTATAGAGAATTTACTGAGTAATTTACTACGAATTTACTTGGAATTTACTGAGTAATTTACTAGGAATTTATTGAGTAAATTACTGGAAATTTACAAAGTAATTTACTGAGAATATATTGAGTAATTTGCTGGGAATTTACAGAGAATTACCAGGAATTTACAGAGTAATTTACAAGAAATTTACTGAGTAATTTACTTAGATTTTAATGGGAATTTAATGAGTAATTTACTGGGAATTTACTTTGAATTTTCTAGGAATTTACTGAGAAATTTATTTGGAATTTACTATGTAATTTATTGGAAATTTACTGAGTAATTTGCTAGGAATTTACTAACAATTTGCTGGGAATTTGCTGAGTAATTTACTGGGAATTTACTTGGAAGTTATTCGGAATTTACTGGGAATTTAGCAAGTAATTTATTGGAAATTTCCTGATTAATTTACTGAGAATTTACTAGAAATTTACCGAGTAATTTACGGGGAATTTACTGAGAATTTATTGGGAATTTAGTAAGTAATTTTCTTGGAATTTACTGAGTACTTTATTGAGAATTTACTTGGAATTTATTGAGTAATTTACTCAGAATTTACTAGGAATTTACAGAGTAATTTATTGGGAATTTACTGTGTAATTTAATGGGAATTTACAGAGTAATATATCGAGAATTTTTTGGAAATTTACTTTGTAATTTACTTGAAATTTAATGGGAATTTACAGAGTAATTTACCGAGAATTTTTTGAAAATTTACTAGGAATTTTCTGAGAATTTTCTGACAACTTACTGAGTAATATTTCTGGGAATTTAATGAGAATCTACTGGGAATTTATAGAAAATTTGCTAAGTAATTTATTGGGAATTTACTTGAATTTAATTGTCGGGAATTTGCAAAGAATTTACTTGGATTTTACTCAATAATTCACAAGGAATTTAATGAGAATTTACATGGAATTTACTAATTATTTTACTTGGAATTTACTAACAAATTTACTGGGAATTTACTAAGTAACTTACAAGGAATTTACTAGGAATTTACTGAAAATTTTCTGGGAATTTATTGAGTAATTTACTGAGAATTTACAAAGTAATTTACAGGGAATTTATTGAGATTTTACTGAGTAATTTACTGAAAATTTATTAAGAATTTACTAGTAATTTAGTTAGGAATTTGTTGAGAATTTACTGGGAATTTTCTGAGTAATTTATTAGGAATTTACTAAGTAATTTACTGGGAATTTACTCAGTAATTTAGTAGGAGTTTACTGGGAATTTACTGACAATTTACTGGGAATTTACTGAGTAATTTATAATGAATTTACTGAGAATTTACATGGAATTTACTGAGCAATTTACTGAGAATTTACTAAGTATACTTAAATTTAATCGGAATTTATTGATTAATTTAATAGTGCTGAGAATTTGCTGGGAATTTACTGAGAAATTTACTGGAAATTTACTGAGTAATTTATTTTGAATTTTCTGTGAATTTACTAAGTACTTTACTGCGAATTTTCTGGGAATTTTCTGTGAAGGTACTAAGAATTTACTATGTAATTTTCTGGAAATTTACAGAGTAATTTACTAAGAATTTACTGAGTAATTTATTGAGAATTTCCTTGAAATTTAAAGAGTAATTTACTGGGAATTTACTAATAACTTACTTAGAATTTAATGGGAATTTACTTAGTAATTTATTAGGAATTTATTGAGATTTTGCTTGGAATTTACCGAGAAATTTACTGAAAATTTACTGAGAATTTTCTGAGAATTTACAGGGAAGTTATAGCGAATTTACTGAGTAATTTACTTGGAATTTGCTGAGAATTTACTAAAAATTTACGAAGAATTTACTAAGTAATTTACTAGGAATTTACGGAGTTATTTACTGGGAATTTACTAAGTAATTTACTAGGAATTTCTGAATAATTTTCTAGTAATTTACTAGAAATTAACTAGGAATTTACTGCGTAATTTACTAAGAATTTACTGAGATTTTACTGAGTAATTTACTGAGATTTTACTGAGAATTACTAAGTAATTTACTGGGAATTTACTGAGAATTTACTTTACTTAGAATTTACGGGGAATTTACTGGGGAATTCATTGTGAATTTACTGAGAATTTCTTGTGAATTTATTGAATAATTTACTGAGAATTCACCTTAAATTTATTAATTAATTTACTGGGAATTTACTAAGTAATTTACAGGAAAGTTACTGAGTAATATACTAGGTATTGTTCTGTGAATTTACTGAGTAATTTACTGAGAATTTACAGAGAAATTTAGTGAGAATTTACTAAGTGACTGGGAATTTAATAACTAATTTACTTTGAATTTACTGGGAATTTACTAAGTAATTTACTAAGAATTGACTAGGAATTTACTGAGTAATTTACAGGAAATTTACTAAGTAATTTAATGAGACTTTATTGAGTAATTTACTTGAAATTTTCTAACAATTTACTGAGAATTTACTGAGTTATTTACTTAGAATTTACTGGGAATTTATTGAGTAATTTGCTAAGAATTTTCTGGAAATTCACTGAGTAATTTACAGAAAATTTACTAGAATTTACTAAGTAATTTACTTGGAATTTTCTAAGAATTTATAGAGAATTTACTGCAAAATTACTGAGTAATTTTCTAGAAATTTACCGAATAATTTACTTGGAATTTACTCTGAATTTAATGAGTAATTCACTGAGAATTTACGGAGAATTTTTGGAGTAATTTACTGGGAATTTACAGAGTAATTTACTGAGAATTTACTCAAAATTTACTAAGTAATTTACTTGAAATTTGCTGAGTAATTTATTGAGAATTTATTAGGAATTTACTAAGAATTTACTGACTAATTTACTAGAAATTTGCTGAGCACTTTACTAGGAATTTACTGTATAATTTGCTGGGAATTTACTGAGTAATTTACTCAGAATTTACTAAGTAATATACTAGGAATTTACTTAGAATTAACTGGGAATTTACTAAGTAATTTACTGAAAATTTAGTGAAAATTTGCAGAGAATTTACTGAATAATTTACTTGGAATTTACTGAGCATTTACTGGGAATTTATTGAGAAATTTACTAGGAATTTACCTAGAATTTAATGGGCATTTACTGAGTTTTTTACTAGGCATTTACTGAGAATTTACTAGGAATTTGCTAAGTAATTTGTAGGGAATTTACTCAGAATTTTTTGAGTAATTTATAGAGACCAATATGAGATGCTTGACACAGGGTAAAGCTAAGCACGTCTGTCAGCGACTTACAAAGATACGACCTAACTGCAATCACTGCTAACTGGTCTACCTCTACACGACTTGAATGACGTCCCACTCAACCTAACACTGTACTACCCTCAATAAGCACAAACCCAGGAATATGAATTGACACAATATAAATATATAATAAACAAATTACAACATATATGGTCTCATAATTTACTGTTGAGGTGGAGGCCTAACGGCGACCGCCCACACAATAATATGTTCCTGAATTTTTTGTTGAATTTTGTGGATCTGTTGATCACAGAATTCTAACTATTGACTTATTGAATTTTCTATTGAATTTTGTGGATCTGTTGATCACAGAATTCCAACTATTGACTTACCCAAGGGTTAGAGAAGATGGTTAAAAAATGTAAATATTGACTACGGCTAGTTATCTAATAATCTAAAACATGTAAAAGATCAACAAGCAAATTTACATAGGGCATGCATACTATAAATACTTACAAACATTAATATCTTCAAAGCAGCATAAATCTTCAACACACAATTTATATTTAGGAATTTTTGTTACAAGAGGAGAACATATATTACAGATACACTCTAATCCACTCTGTCTCAACAACGGTGAGGTCCTTCCCTTTTATAGACATAAATAATTAAAAGAAAAGATAAGGTAAGGACAGGTGGCGTATCTTGAATGGGATGGAGTCGTTCATCCTTATCCTTTTGCTGAGTGAGAATTTGCTTTTGACTCAGCATCCTTATCTTCTTTGGACCGATATGAGATATTTTCTCTTTTCTGGATAGCAAACAAGGAGTCTTTAGCCGAAAGTAATTTTGGTATGTTCTAATAATTGGTTCTAATGGGAAACAAGGCACTATTCTTTACCTTTTCCTTTTTTATCTTTTTCTTTATCAATCTTTTCTGCAATCATACTGGTTAAAGAATCCCAAAAATCACCAAAATTGGGTTCTTCTACTGGTTGTGATTCACCAGCCAATACAAAGAATTGGTTGGCATCTTCTTCTTCTGAATCTTCCTGTTCATGACTGCTGTTGACTGATTTTATGGAAGAGCCATCTTTAGATATAGTTTGTAAGAATTGCTCTTTCATGAAATCCATACTTTTTACAATTAATTCTGTTTCAGACAAATTCGAATATTTTTGTCTTAAATTTGTTTGAATATGGACAAATGGATTAGAATTAACTGGTTGACTGGGTATTGCTTTAGGAATAGCATCCCAACAGGCCTGAGTATGGGCCTCGATTTTCTAAACAGTTTCTGTTAATGTGGGATTCATACCTTTATCCCACCATCACAAAGAATACTCTTTTAAGACGTGAGACCCTATTCTGGTAATCACATTGAAAATCCCATTTCCAGATCCATGGAATGCTAAATCGGATAACAAAATTGGTTAATGATTTACTGATAGAAATATTCTTGTTTGCTAGTAAATGAGAGTAAGCAGTGCATGCCAGTCATTATATGCTTCTCTCACTGGTACAGGT